GCTACTCTTGCCCTGATCTTTTGGTTGTCCAAGATCGTTGAATGAAACGACTACAAGTTCATCTGGTTGTTGTCCCCAAACTTTAGACATACAAGTAGCACCTCTTACCCTTTTTTTTTTATTGCCAACTATAGTAAAGAATGTATTATTTCTCAACGTAAAAATTACTAGAACTAGATATTAGGGTATGATGTAGAAAATATTTCTCACCAATATAATCTTGATAACATTGTCAGTAGAATCACCAATCTCAGATATATATTTACTTGCGTCATAAGCAGCGATATTACGGATTGAATTAGGCGGAGTAGTTGCATTGGGCTGATTTAGATTCGTAAAAGGCAGACCCGCAACTTAAAATAATTAATTTAGAGCAATAAACAATATAATTAACTAGTGAAAAAGTGAAATATAATTAACTCAATTTTGAGATTATGATATGATAAAAATTTAAACCAGAAGGCTGCTCTAACTACAATGCTGTTGCTTTAGGACGATTTGTACTCACAGCAAGTTGACCTACAACTTATAATAAATCATTTACTTTAATAAGCAAATTTTTAAATAATAAGACTTAAAAATTAAAATTTAGGAACATAATTATTTGATTTTGCGATTACGATTACGAGAAATATTTAAATTAGGAGGCTGGTCAGGCTGCAAAACAGTTGCTTCAGGTTGCATTGAACTCCCACGAATTTGACATATACCTGAAAAAAAAAACATATTACATGAACAACACCGATATGATCATCTAGTAAAACTTAAAAAAAAAAATTAGAAATATGATTTTGAAACTTACGATTATGACAAATATCTAAATTAGAAATTTGGTTCGGCCGATCAAAAACTTCACAGGTTACACGCTTGCTACCAGTCCTATTGTTCGGAGGCATGATCTCTGAAAATGAAAGAGAGTAAAAATATGTTAGACCCTTATATATATTAGTAATTAAAGAGATTTTTATCACCAGAAAATATAACTCACCAGAAACTTAGGATCACCTCTATATTTAATATAAACAAAGTTCGAATAAGAAAATAGTGCGGAAAAAAACACAAATAAACATATATTACCAATTCGAATTGTTGAGTGTAGATTTTACACTCAATACTTTTACTTAACGTGGATCTTTTTTTTAGATTTAGTTATATTTGTGCTTTAATTGATTGATTTTGTGTTTTATAGGTGAAAAACGAGAATTAGGTGTCCATGAGGAAAAATATCAAAAGGAAAGGAAAAAATTGCAAATAAGGAAATAAATCAAATTGGGAGAATGAATCTCGCCACAGCTTTGACAGTGTTCACTATTTCGAGCATATCTCTTTCATACAAACTCCGAATCAGCTGATTTTGACGGCATTGGAAAGATAATTGCAAGGGCTACAATTCTTATTTACTCAACATTCCAAAATTCGGACTCCAACATGGCGAAAATAGAAGAACAAATCCTAATGGGGAGAAGTGGCGGAAATTGATTCCTATTAGGTTTCCACTACTTCCTTATCAAGAAAAGCCTATAAAAGCAACATGTCTCTACACCATAATGACGAAATGTTACACCACAAAATGCGAAGAACGAAGATCAACGAAGACTCAAGCATAATTTTTCTTATTTATTTTATTTATTCTATTTTGCTTATCATAAGAATTACGAGTAGCTAAGTTGTTAATCTAGGATTTTGTTGGAACCCTATGTTGTGATTCAAACCTATTTTTCTAATGTGAAATGCTATTCGCGGTTCATAAAAAAAACTCACTCTCTCTCTAAAACTACAAAAACCAAAAAACCGCAAATAGCAAAAAAAAAATAAAAAAATTTCGAAATCTCGAATTCAAGCTCGAAGAACCGTTGGGCTTCGATTTTTTGAGGTAATTTCGACTAATTTATGTAAAATATGCATTGCCCATGTCGTTTACGCAACCAATTTCATGTTTAAAGCCCCTACAAATCGAATTGTAGGGGCTGTTTTTTTTTCGGTAATTATAGGCTGAACGCCCAAGTTGGGCGCCCAAGGGGTGTTCAAACGCCCGATTCCGGTTCACGCCCAAACCGGGCGTTCGAATTATTTTTTTTAATCAATTATATTAATTTAATTAATTTAAAATATGTTTTATGTTTGTAGGATGTCTAATTGGAAGAAAAAATTGGGAATGGGAAAAGGGAAGGGTCCCCTGATTCGTTCTCCTACAAATCCGGTGGAGGAGAGTACTGCGGAACGGGAGGGCAGAACGCACAACCGTAATGTTACCAGTTCTAAACGTCGTGGGGAACGGACTGGCGCTTTTGTACAACCACGTATGACAATTGAGGAGGAGGAGGAGACAGAGGCAGAGCCCAAGCAGGAGATGGATACATATATGGATCCCCACGAGGACGAGTACGATCCAGGACTACGTTTTCAGCAGAAGTATCAGTTTCCGGTGCCTGATTTGCCCTCCGATGATGATGACGAGGACGGTTTGACTCCGCCTCCGCCTCCGGCTTATACAATGGCTGGTACTTCCAGTGGTTCTACTCGTGCCCCAAACCCAAGGTCCCGGCCCGGTCCGAAAAAACTCTTCCTACTCGACCGTGGAAGTTGATTGGTGAGACACCCGGTGGACCAAAATACCCTCATTTGATTTCGATTTTTGGAGCCCATAATGCCTACGACATCTGGGAGGGAAAGGTAATACTTATTAATTTTAATAAATTTTGTTTAAAATGTTTATAGTTGATTTTCCTATTCTTAAATATCAATATATCTTCAACAGGGCCGATAAAGTTGCGGTCTCATGCGAAGTGTACTTGGTCGGGCCCCGACGACTATTATAGTGTTTCACTACTGGAGAGTACTGGGTTGTATCAGTTGCGTTATTGTTCGCTCCCTCAGCACAATAACCTATTGATAGAGGCTTTTATTGAGAGGTGGTAGCCAGACACCAACAACTTTCATATACCGTTTGGAGAGATGACAATTACTCTCCACGATGTGCACTATATCATGCATTTGCGAGTTAGTGGAAAGCGCCCTAACATTTGGATGGATAAGGCATACTCGATTTATGCAGGTGCGAGAGCGTTCGGTGTCGAGCCCCGAGATATGGAGAAGTGGTATGGCGGCGGATCCTGGTTAGATGATTTGGATAGGATGTATGGCCACGATTCTTCATATGCTTCCGAGTTTCGAGTAGGAGCATATATTGCGTACTTGCTTGGAAAGCTATTGTTTGTCGATAAGAGTGGATCGAAGGTGAAAGCAGATTTTTTCCCACTTTTAGAGCAGATCGATATGATATCCGACTATTCCTGGGGTTCGGCTACATTGGCCTATTTGTATCGACAATTGCGCATGGCTACGCGAGCTGAGGCGGCGCAGATGGGTGGTTGTCTGACACTGTTAGAGGTAATTTTTTATTTGTAGTAACCCCTCAATATTTTATTAATATCACCAAACTGATATGTTTAATATGCCGTATCATTATTTTTGTAGTGTTAGATATATGAGTATTTTCCGTGTTTCCGGCCTCCGATGGTTAACGCACATGTGAATGGAGAGCCCTGGTGTAAGAGGTGGCATTCTATACATCATATCCCTAAAGAAGAGGATATAATTGTTGATTATCATCGACCTTTTGATTCTATGCGTGCGTCAGATGTAAGTATCAAGTTTAAATAAATTAAGATTTATATATTTACTATGTTTATTAATACACTTCTATTATTAATACATACGCACATGTGAATTGGACGCCATTTGGAGTGAATGTGTCACGTGAAGTTGAAAAGACGGTTCATCACGGGACTATTCGATGGATGGATACGGTCGAGCCGTACATGCCCGATAGAGTTTTGCGTCAGTTCGGATTTCTGCAGATTAAACCGTCGGACCCTATTCGTCCGCTAAAAGGTGCTAAGAGGGAGAAAAAATTAGCATCGTACAAAATTAGCTACGAGCCTGGCGATCAGATGTGGAATATCCCTCACATGCACATGCTTAGTGAAGATTATTATGGTCATTGGGCGCGTCCGGCTTGGGAGTCGACACCGGAGTATTTGCCCTTGTATCTCGACCACATCCACGTCCGTATACATCCTAGTACCGAGCCGGTTGAGAGAGCGGAGCCATCTGCAGTTCCGTTTGTGTACGACATCACCCGGGTGTTGCATCCCTACTTCTACGGCCACCGCCGACTATTCAGGATATCGACAGATTCCCGATGAATTTTTCAGGATTATCCAGGACATGTGCGCCCCATTCGCCGAGTATCTACAGTTGGATCGTTCTAATGCTTCTGACGAATATGAAGCAGGATACTCACATATGCGACATTCTCAGCGCAGGAGTCGGACGAGAGATACGTAGGTGTTTATTTTTTATTTTTTTATTATTCGAACTTCTTTGGTGTTGATGTTTTCGGGTAATTTGGACATGTTGATGTTTTGTGTTTTTTATTTGGACTTGTTCATGTTCTATGTTTTTTATTTGATTTTGTGTTTTAATTTGAACTTGTTCATGGTTTTTGTTTTTTGTTTAATAATAATAATAATAATAATAATAATAATAATAATCATCATAATAATAATAATAATAATAATAATAATAATAATAATAATAATAATAATAATAATAATAATAATAATAATAATAATAATAATAATAATAATAATAATAATAATAATAATATTAATAATAATAATAATAATAATAATAATAATAATAATAATAATAATAATAATAATAATAATAATAATAATAATAATAATAATAATAATAATAATAATAATAATAATAATAATAATAATAATAATAATAATAATAATAATAATAATAATAATAATAATAATAATAATAATAATAATAATAATATTAATAATAATAATAATAATAATAATAATTATAATAACAACAACAACAACGACAACGACGACGACGACGACAACAACAACAACAACAACAACAACAACAACAACAACAACAACAACAACAACAACAACAACAACAACACTACTAAATCAAACACTAGTTAGAATATCCCACGCTTCACGTCGCTCCCGCAATGCCTCTGACAAATATGCAACAGTATAATTGCTGTATCTCGCCCACTGCAGGTTAAACGGAGGAAGCGGACAGTTGTCATTCAGCTTCAGATACACAAAGTGGCTTCTTGCTTCAAGAAATAGTATAGTCATCTGGTAAGATAACTGTGAAACACCTTCGGGAGCCCAAAGTGGCAAATAAGTCTGATTTCCCGAACGGCTAGCCGACAAGACCAACGCGTTGTAATATGTTGCTACAACCACGCCCACGTCCGTGATCGTCATCCACTTTTGCAGAGGTGCTGGGGCGTTATCCCAATAGGCGACACTCGCCAACACCCGATACACTGAATTGCCACCACCGAAATAATCATTGAAGAACAACTCGTGTCTTCTAATACAGGTATACACATCCAATCTAACATCCATCCAATCATCCTCACTGTTCTTGACTGCACACGCCACGCTCCGATAACCACAATTACCATCCCCTTGAACGTCCGTCCAGGTCACAATCTCCGGAACGAGGCAAAAATGAAGTTCTCGCAACCAACTAGGTCGGGGCATTCGTCCCATTTAGGGTCCACTCACAGTCGATGAACGACCACGGCCACAACTAGATCTCTCAGGAGATGAACCACAACCTCTGTTGCCTCTTGATCGTCCTCGTCCTCGTCTAGAATTTTCTTCGCCCGGGTATAATGGCAACTCATGCGCTGAGTCATCCCTCTGTGTGGAGTTGTTCTGCGGTCTACCTCTTGGGTGGTCTAGTACTGGTGGCTCATTTATTTCCGTTGCCCCAGGATGCATCCGTTCAAAAACTACATATACCACGTCCGTGATCTCAATTTCTGAACGTTCACGCAACTCATCAATTAAACTGTCTAGCCTTCCAATAGCTGGTGACCTTTGATCGGGAACAGAACCAACACTTTCTTCTTGGCCAGGCCCGAATCCCAAAACCCATGTCCTCCAAAAAATGTGGACATCCTCCGCACAAAACACACCACGTCGTGCATTCACCTTTGCGTCAATTTCATGTTTGCATGGGAGGCCAAGACATTTCCTCATGTAACAGACGCAACTGTCTATATCTTATTCCTTCTCATCGTCCAACATCTTCTGTGCAGAATGTGTTACAATTCCACTGGACAATATTTTAAATACGAGCACATTAATCGTCTGGGCCCAAATCCCCTTTGACTTCGCAAATTCGGCCAGAATCACGTTAAGTTGATCTGCAATCTGTGTGTGATACTGTGCCCAAAATATGTCAAAGCCACCTGTGGACGAATCCAACCATCTCTTCAATGCTTTATGGTTTCTCTCCACCATAATATGATTAAAGTAGGTTATGTTTCAGTAAACAACATGACAGTAAGTTAAGTATATGTATTTAACCACTGATAAATAAATACCTGCTTGTCGATGTATTGCCCAGATGAAAAACTAGATCCGTCCATGCTTTTACAATTTTCTCTTTGTATATCAGCCAAGTGTCTTGGAGGTACTCAATCAACTGTGGATGATTCGCGTAATCGTCCACTAAAACTCTGTAATTCCGGTCCAAAATTTTCTTCACACAATGATGTTACCAAAGTTTGCCACGGACAGAATACAAAAGCAAATCCTTGACGCCTACTATTGCCAAAACACTTTGAAGCACAAAGTCTCACATTCATGTTAATGTGCCAAAGACATAATAGATGAGGCACAGTCGGAAATACATTCTCTATCGCCTTTAAGAGCCCTAACTCGCAATCAGTCACAAGTGCACTAGGTAGAGTATGTGGGGGGAAAAGTCTCTTCAGCCTTTGCAACACCCATGTATAATGGTCTTCATTTTCATGGCGCATAAATACCACTCCAAGAGTAAAAAAATTTCCGGCAGGAGTAACACCAACAATCTCCAACAAAGGCAATCTCCAACAATCTCAAGTAGTATAACGTACGGAAACTTACTTAACAATTCGACTGATAGAGGGTGAGCCCATATCAAATCAATAACTGCATGTGTCGTTTCATCTGTACGGAACCACTTGTAATAGTTATGCTCCTCAAGCAACCCAATCAAATGTTGCATCATTGTACGGTCACCCCTAGCTAATCTTCTCAATTTCGCCTTTTCATTGTATATTTGTTTCAAATAAACATCGAGACCCAAGCCATTTTGTCTAAAGTTAGCCAAAATCTTCTTAGGCGGCACATGACTTTGTGAAAGATCCTTGATAATCTTCACCTCCGCTTCATTCAATGCACTAATCCCATGCACAGACATGTATATCGGAATATAACTATGCTTCCCATATACTATTCTGCGCCCCCATCTATCTTCCAACCGCCGCTCTCCGACGATTTGAAAACAACATTTTATTTTTTTGCTACCAGACCTTTTCGAGGCCGCCTCTACGTTACTTTCTCGGGGCCCTCCGAACAGGTCACAAGTTAGACACCCTTTCTTTGTTTTGGGGGCATTTTTTTTAATTAATCTCACAAAAAGAGCTCTTGCAACGGACCTAGCCAAAGCCACTAACTCGTCCCCAGAGTCAAACAATTGAGTTATTGCAAAATAATCAGTATGATCAACTTCAACTCTAGACGTATTGTCTTGAAAAAAAACATTAAAAATTTATTTAAAAATAAAATAAAATATATATATATATATATATATTTGAACCGGACGCCCAAATAAGCAGTGCACGCCCAAATTGGGAGTGCAGTTGGCTGCCGGGCGCCCGCATTGGGCGTGGAGCTGCCAACTGCACGCCCAACTTGGGCGTGTACAACTTATTTGGGCGCCCAAGTTGGGCGTTTGGACAATTTTCCCAGTTTTTTCGATCGAGAAGACATAATTTTTACCTCGTTAGATCCGCTATCACGATCTTCATCCAATAAGCTCATTTGTGTTCGTATATCACACCAACAAGAATGATTTTTAATCAAATTCCCTTCAAAAGCTTCTTTTTCTAGAGAGAGAGAATATTTTAATAATAAACCGCAAATAGCAATTTCACAACCGCGAAAAGCAAATCCCTTTTCTAATATTATGCAATTTTAAATTCCATGATTATTTCTTCTATTTTATCTTATTTAGCGCATGAACCTAGCTAATTTATGTTGCTAAATGTTATTGTTAGAATTTATTGACAGATCGTTTTAATAATTAGAGCAGGGATAGAAGAGCGTTCGAGTAGTTTTCACCGGGATGAGTATGTCAATTGCATGTATTATCGTAGATATACAGATAATACCTTGGGTAGCCGTTTACGAGACTTGTTATTTAATGCTTTATTCATAATTGGTTTGCATAGACATATAGTGAATCGTTTATGAATAATAGACTCATAATACACGCGACAGCGGGTTATGAGTAATTTCGTGTCTTGGGTTAATAATCAGGAATTGTAACTTGCATGATAGAGTTTTAATTGGGTGATGAATTATTGCATCGGGGGAAGATAAAATTCTAGATCCGTTTTTATATTTCACTTCAACAAAAAATTATATACAAAAAAATTGGAATTAAATAATTGCAAATAAAAAGATTATAAGGCACAAAAATTTTCGGGTTCTTGTTAAAAGTCAGAACTTTCATAATCATAGAATAAACTATATTAGCAACTAGAACACTAAAAAGTTTAGGAACTAAAAGCCAAATTAATATAAGTGTGCAACACAAAAAATCATACAAGTATTACAAATACAAAAAAAAAGGTGATAATCAAAGATAGAAGTACTTAACGTACAAAGGAAGTTGGGACCAGATTATTACTAAAAGATTAGTGAAATTTATGTTGTTATCTTCTTAATTTCAATACAAGTTAATGGCAACTAAAACAATAACATTCTAATATATATACATCATTCCAAAAATCAATTTGACATTCAACGGTATATTCATTACTTGCAAAGATCTTCTTCCCTAACTAATCGCCCTAAAAATATTGAATCTCACAGTTTTTGACAGCCAAATATTGAATCTTATCAAAATAATTATTAGGCCTTTCTTATTGAATCTTATCAAAATATTGAAGAAAAAAAAAACCGTAACAAAGATTTTTTTACTAAAACTCTACATCATAAGAATACATATTGAATTTAAGAATCATAAATCAGGGGTTAGGGCTTCAATATTTACGATTAGGGTGATAATTTTTCGTCCTCTTTAATTTGTGCTTCCAGAATTAATCTCCGTAGATAAAGAAAAAAACAAGAAATTACCTTCCCTCCAAGAAACAATCTTCTGCTTCCAATTGATAACTCGCTACGTATATAGTAGGATTTGAGAATTTGGCAGCCCTAAAAACTATAAAGAGAGGAGATTACCTTCAATCGGGGCCTTTTGTTCTTCTTCAATAAACAACAATGGCCCTTTACTTTGTAATTGAAAAAAAAAAAAACAGAGAAAAGAACCAAAAATTACCTTCAATTGACGTCTCAAGGAATTGATTTTGCTATTTCTCTATGGAGAAGATTAAAGTTTGGTTACGGTGGAAAAGGGTTAAGATGGGTTTAGGGTAAAATAATGAAATAGAACAAAAGAAAAGAAAAAAGGGAACCGCCAAGAATAAAAATTTCCCCGCTAAATAATTCATTGTGCTAGTTCCCATATATAAATTTAATACCTAGATAATATATTAAATGACCGGTTTTTTTTTTTCCAATATATTATATTTGAGACATTTAAAAATAAGTGTTTCGAAATTTACATTGGCTGTGAATAATTGAATGCTTTACAATATAACAATTAAATATGTAATATATTAATTATCTCAATATATAATATTCGAGACATTTAAAAACAAATGTCTCTAAATTTGTGATATAAGTGCCTCTAGAAATTTAACAAATGGAAGATAATTACCAAGTGCCCTAACATATTATATTTGAGGCATTTAAAAAAAATGTCTCCAACAAAGTGTCCTAATACATATTTTGTTGTAGTGTCTTCAGTCAGACTTTGCTTCTTAACACTGTTATGTCCAATCCAAAGCCTTGTAGATTGCACATCCATCCATTTGCTTTACTACATCTCTTTCAACCAATGCATGGATAGGGTTGCAATATGCCAGTGTCCACATCCACCTTAGTTGGTGCCCTTCTTTGTTAATAAGCAATCGGTACAATACCAAGGTAGGATGTCCGTTATCCGCTCCCTCAAATTCGTATACAAATTAAATCTCCAGTCTGCGTATAACCTCCACCTCAAACACATTAGCCTTCTCATCAACCACTATCGATGTCTTCAAATCCACAGTTAGATCAACGATAGGGTCCACAACGAGAATATCTTCAATCATTACATTCATCTCCTTCTTCTCTTGTTCTGAGGCATATTCGGGATTTAGCTCGATTGCCTTCTCAGATTCGTCATGCTCAAGTCTCTTCGTAATTTGTATTTCTCTCATATCGACACTATTTCCCGGACATAGAAGATTTTTCTCACCGCAGGCTTCACCCGAATTTTCTTTGATATAACCATTGCCGATTTCGTCTGGAATATTTTCAAGAGACTCAGATTTTAATTTGAGCGTCATCTCTTCCAATTGTATATCCATGTTTCGAAATGATGCTTGAGTGGACTTCATGAATTCGGCAATGAGGGATACCAAATCAAATTGTTCATTAACAGTTTGTTGTTGTGATGGATAATAATTTTGAAAATAAAAATATTGTGGCTCTCTATGTTGAAACTCATTGAAATATTGGTCCTGGAAGCTTTGCTCGTATGTGTTCGTGTAAGTGTTCCAATAATCTCTGGTGGTAATTTAACGAAATTCGTCGCTTTTGGTGATCCCCAACTGATAAGGAACGTCAAATTGGATTCGAATTGCAAAATAACTACTTAATTCGGAGAAGAGTTGTTTATGGGCATTGGTGGAAATATCGAAAGAAATTATGGAAAAATAAGGGTTTTCTACAAACTCAAATTGTATTTGAGTACGAAACGAACTTTATCTCAAGTAAAACGGCGCAAGAAACAAAACTCATGAGCATAGATCATGAGTCACGTCAAATTCTAGCAATCCAACGTCGTTTAGACTCCCAAAAGTTCGTTTTTGCTATTTTAGGCAAGTTTTAGAAAATTAATATCAAATCATAGAAACATCGGATTAGGATTCCGTAAATTGGGTAGTTCGCAAAATTACGAGATCTACTAGATACAGACTCTAACTCATTTTTGCCGTTTTTGGTAATTTTTAGTATTTTCTGAGTTTAATTAGGGTTTTTAGTTTTTTAGTATAAATAGCTGCCTTAGGACTTTATTTTGAGAAGAATTTCGAATTTTAATAAAATATTTAGAGTTTTCTCTATTTTTCTGGTGGATTCCAATGTTTTCGGTGGATTCCGAATGTTATTTTGTACTATAGGATTAATTCGTAGAAATTAATTCTTTACCGTGCTTCCGTTCTGCGTCAGTTGGCATCAGTAGCGAGGTTTTTCCTGGTTAGATGGCGAAAGGTGTGAAACATGGAGACAACAACTACGTTGACGATGATCGCGGAGTTGAAAAATTGCAAAATCTGCGGTTGGTGCGCGAGGGATTTGCCCTAGACAACAACAACAGAAGGAGTGATGAATCAAGCATGATGATTGCCGACGGTGTAGCCCGAGGTGCATATGTTAGACACAATTATCATGTACCTGTTCAATTTCAATCAAGGTATGACGACTATTCAAAGGAGAAAGAAAACTCTCAGTTTGAAGAAAACCCGTCTATAAGGAGGCAAAAGGATCGTGATAAATATCGGGTAAGAGCTGAAACTCCTTCTTTTAGTGGAAATTTTCTTGAAGTTGAGGATTTTATCGATTGAGTATCAGAAATAGAAAGATATTTTGAATTGGTGGATATTTTGCCGAATAAGATGGTAAAATTGGTTAGTTGTGAGTTAAAGGGTTGTGCAGCCGCATGGTGGGATGAAATACAGAGGAATAGAGCTAGACAAGAAAAGTTTCCTATCCAATCATGGAGGAGGATGAGAAAAATGTTGATGGATCGTTTTTTACCTTTAGATTACAAGCAACATCTATTTGAACTATATCGTAATTGTTTGCAAATGGAGTAGATCGGTTAAGAACTATACTGCTGAGTTTATGAGACTACCAAACTTAAATAACCTACAAGAATCCGAAAGTACGAAAATTTCACGGTACTTGACAGGATTGAATATTTCAATACGTCTTAAGATAGTGTGGCATACATTCTACACCCTTGAAGAGGCTCAAGAGTTAGCATGGAGGGAGGAATATTATCAGAAGCGAAATAGTTCTTCTAGA